GCAGGGTGCTGTAAGCTGTTGTAGCTGCCTGGGTGCAGCACAAGTCGCCGTACTTGAACCTGGATCTCGTTGTAGTGCCCTCGCTTGACCGGTTCCAACAGGGTTTGGTAGGCTGTCGTAGCTTATTTCAGATCTGTAGCTGCTTGGGTGCAGTACAAGCCGCCGTATTTGCTCCAGGGGTCTGTTGTAGTCCTCTCGCTTGGCCGAGCTGAGTAGGGGTATGTAGGCTGTCACGACATAATAGGGTAGTTCGTTGGGGATACCGGTGGCGGATGCGTGGAGTCAGGAGGTGGTATTCTTTGTCGGAGGCTCGTTGAGCTTAGTGATCTGTCGCAGCTCGATGGTGCAAGGGTGTACTTAATCGACAGTTTCCGGCGTGTGTCTGGTCGAGCAAAGCTTCCTGCGCTGTTGTCGCTACCTTGAGGCGCCCACTGCTATTCGCGCAATTCCCATCATGACCCGCTTGTTTTCCCGCGTCGGTCGAGCGATGTAATGTTTTAGTATGAACAGTGATCTTGTATTTCGCGTGTCGGCAGGTTCTACGAGCGTAATAGTGAGGGGATTGGCGTGGATGAAGGTGGGCACCGCGCTGTTTGATGGATTCGAATGCCATGGAGTCTGCACAAGAGTCATATTGTAACAGGGTTACGATGACTACAAAGGTTTCGAGATGTATCCGTCGCCACTTTACTCGCCTTTAAATTCTTCTATCGTCGAACGGCGTCACCTCGGATGGGTAATACGATGAGTACCTAGTTATGCGTGCACCTCATGAAAACGAGCTTCACGTGAGCAAAGCATTGAGATTCGATCTGGCTCTAGCGAAACAGCGATCAATCACCTTACAAATGTAACGCATGGTATACGTTGAGCCTTCGCCGATGGTGTCATTCGTTGGCGCCGACATCGCCATTGACGCAGGCACCGCGCATGGCGGGGTTGGACTTGTGCGTGTGGCGGGGCAGGACAAACGCAATTGCATTCAATGAAACACAAATGCCTTCGCAGTGTGTTTCCGTTCGTAGACAATCATCAATCAGACTACGGCGACGCCAATGGTGATCATGCAGCGGCCTAGTCGACGCGTGCAGGCGATCCGGAATTTGACAGGGCGAGACGCGGTCCCTTGACTCAACTGCGATCCCGGAGTCATCACAACATTTTTCCCCACGGGGACCTTAACTTTACATCGCTTTTGGGACATACACGACAGCCGTCACCAATTACACTTTTTGCCTTTGCATTTCGCTAGATTGTTGATTGGTATTACACATAATGTCCTCCCACACAGCATCGCAGCGGTACCTGAGTACCCGAGGAGGATCCTATGACGTGAGAGCGACCCGGCGAGAATGCGCTCAGACGGTTGCTAACAGGGCATAGTTCTCCTTCGAGGAAGTTGTCCTCAAGGGTCTCGCTTCCGACGGCGGCCTCTTCATCCCCGAAGAAATCCCCACGCTGCCCGACGACTGGGCGTCCAAGTGGAAGAACCTCTCCTTCGCAGACCTCGCTTTCGAGATCTTCTCCCTCTACATCTCCCCGTCCGAGATCCCGGCCGCAGACCTGAAGGACATCATCCACCGCAGCTACTCCACATTCCGCGCACAAGATGTCGTACCCACCGTCACACTCGACAAGGAGAAAAACATACATCTGCTGGAATTGTTTCACGGGCCTACATTCGCCTTCAAAGATGTCGCGCTGCAATTCCTCGGCAACCTCTTCGAGTACTTCCTCGTGCGCAAGAACCAGGGCAAGACCGGACGCGACAGGGAGCATTTGACCGTCATTGGCGCGACAAGTGGTGATACTGGCTCAGCAGCCATCTACGGCCTGCGCGGAAAGAAGGATGTGTCGGTCTTTATCATGCACCCGCATGGAAAGGTTAGCCCGATCCAGGAAGCGCAGATGACGACCGTCATGGACGCCAACGTGCACAACTTGGCTGTAGACGGCACATTCGACGATTGTCAGGTAGGCGCATCTTCCATCATACCCCCAGACACAACTAACACGCCCAGGACTTCGTAAAAGCGCTTTTCGCAGACCCCGAGATCAACAAGACGCACCACCTCGCCGCCGTCAACTCGATCAACTGGGCCCGTATCCTCGCCCAGATCACCTACTTCTTCTACTCGTACTTCGACCTCATCAAGCAGGAGTCCTTCCTTCCCGCCTCCACCGTCCGCTTCGTCGTGCCCACCGGCAACTTTGGCGACATCCTCGCCGGCTTCTTCGCGAAGCGCATGGGCCTGCCAGCCGAGAAGCTGGTCATAGCCACAAACGCGAACGACATCCTACACCGCTTCTGGGAAACTGGCAAGTACGAGAAGAACCCCGTACATGGAAAGCAGGCTGAGGGTGGTATTCCCGAGGACGGCGCCAAGGCGCACGAGAGCGGAGTCAAGGAGACGCTGAGCCCAGCCATGGACATTCTCGTCTCGTCCAACTTCGAGCGGTTGCTCTGGTTCCTGTCATACGACGTGTACAGCTCAAACTCAGACGCCGTATCGCAACGAAGGAGCCAAGCCGGCGACCATGTACGGAATTGGCTCAACGACCTGAAGACGAACGGCGGCTTCGCGGTCGACAAGCAGATCCTCGAAGCAGCACAGTCCGATTTCGCCTCATATCGCGTCAGCGACGAGGAGACCCTCGAGATGATCAAATATGTCTTCAACGCAGAGTCATCAAAGAGCTACGTCCTCGACCCACACTCCGCCATCGGTATCGCAGCAGCACTCCGCTCAGCTGAGGTGTCCAAGCCTCCATCCACACACCACATTGCGCTCGCAACAGCACACCCAGCCAAGTTCGCGAATGCGGTCGAACTCGCGCTGCCAGAGCAGAAGGAGTACTTCCAAGAGAAGGTACTGCCAGTTGAGTTCAAGGGTCTCGAGGACAAGCCGCGCAGAGTCAGCCATGTCAAGAGATCAGAAGGCTGGCAAGGCGTACGCAAGGTCGTCATTGCAGAAGTAGAGGCAGAACGACAAGCTGCGGAAAGCGGTGCGCAGTAGATGGTAGATAGGCTGGGTATAGACAGGCTTTGTTTACGCATCTTTGCATAGACCATAAATGGTAGCTGTCCTGAGAATAGATCTCAATTATGTTGTTCATGCTCTAAACTTTACGCAATCACGAATCTCCATGCTTGAAGTAAGTCATCCCCCGTCCTTTCCGCAGCTTGTCGTTCTGCCTCTACTTCTGCAATGACGACCTTGCGTACGCCTTGCCAGCCTTCTGACGTTGAGCAATCCCCTATTGGCAAAAGTTGTCTTGCAATAGGTGTCCTTTTCGTTTTCTCCAGACATATCACTTCACCAGCACTCGTTGAGAAAATCCTAGTCCAACGCATCCTCAGCTACCTACTGAACGGGTCTTTACATTAATCTCTCTCCTTTGCGTTAGCATCCCTCTCCCTAACCACTTCAGTCTCGAACTCCAAACCAGCTCTCCTTCTCACAGTCCCAAAAACAGCACTACTATCGCACCTCCTCCCCCTCTCCTCCCCATAAACCCTCGCCTCCTCCGCAGCCTCAAGATACATCTCTCCAATCCCCAACCTCATGCCATTCTCCCTCGCAAGACTAACCCCATGACCCACATCCTTGATCCCAAGCTCCAACCCCGAAGATGGCGCCTGGCCCTCCGCGGGGAAGTAACTTCCACTCGTCAAGCGTTTCGAAACGCCATGTGCGTACATCCCGAAGTTCTCTTCGATTAAGGATTCGAGGACGGAAGCAGGCAGCCCGGTTTTAGAAGCCAATACGTGAGCTTCACTGAGGAGAAGCATGAGTCCTGCGGTTATGAAGTTGCTTGTTGTTTTCAGCAGCAGCGCTTGAGACGGTTCTTCACCCACTCTAATCACCGCGCGTGCGATCACGTTTTCAAGGAAGGGCAGGATGGGGGTGATGGCAGATGCGGGGCCCGCAATGGCCATCAGCAGTCGTCCGGCTTGGGCGAGGGGTGTGGCGCCGAAGACGGGGGCGGTGATGTAGGATGCGCCTGTGGAGGTGAACTGCGCTGTTATGGTTGATGTGGTGGTGGGGTGGACGGTTGTTGTGTCGATTATGGTTTTGGTGGTCAGGGAGCCGCTGGAGAGGATGGTGGAAGTTATGGTTTGGAGGGCTGTGTCGTCGCTTACCTTTGAGTTATGAGTTCAATATCTTTACGCTGGGTATTTGATGAAGAATGACTCACGGAAATGAATATCACGTCGCAGTTTTGAACCAAGTCTTTGACCCCCGAACAGGGCGTGCCTCCGATTTCTTTCAGGGTGTCACCCCGTGAGAGAGTTCGGTTCCAGTACTTCAGTGGTGGTAGACTGTGTTGTATAAGATGTTTCTGGATGTTGGTCGCCATGGCTAGACCCATTGATCCTAGACCTATCCATCCTAGTCGTAAAGGTTGTGTGGACATGTTGGCCGAGTGTAAAAACGAGCACTTTCTGATAGTTGAATGCTACACTTATCCCTAGGTGAAGTGACTCAACTTGAAGACGCAGGTATGAGCATACATGCACACGAATCGAGTATGCAGTACACTAGTGTGTATTAGGCAAGCGACTATCTGATATAACCGGATATTCCAGGAAGAGTGTGGTCGCGGAAAAAGCTTACAGCCTTGCACAATGTTAGTATACCAGAGTAGGGATACCTTGTGTAAGGCCAGCAAAAGTAGAACTACGAAAGGATCAGCTGCATTGCACGCCATCAGTGTAGCTTGCAACAAGAGCTCAATGCTGAATGATACCATTCCTTGTATTTTGTGAATAATGTAAATAGTACAAGTGATGCATGGAGGACCCCAAACTCCTGGCTATGCTGATGATCGTAGATGAACCAATCTCCAATAGTTCTGCTTATACATCTCGCGACCAAACCGTGAAGGCAATCCACCACATCCTATTTCCCTCGCGTTTGTTGTTGAATCCAAGCCGAGACTCTAGAGGACGAGTGCTGCAATAGCACTGTCTTCAGAGGCAGCGTACCTCCAGAAGTCTACTCTTCGTCCTCATCGTCGTCCACCACACGTCTCCGCTTCGTCCGGCTAACAACCACCTCATCGTCGTCGTCATCGTCGGCAGCAACACCACCCCGTGCTCGCTTGGGACTCGCCGCAATACCCTCATCTGGATCATCGTCGTCGTCCACGATCTCCGGCTCCTCGTCACTAGCGGCAATAAAGTCATCCTCCTCATCGTAGTCGTCTTCGCGATTCCTCCTGGGGCCACCGTAGTCCTCGTCGTCACTCCAGTCACGCCGTAAGCCACCCTTCTGCGCGTTCTTCTTCCGAGCTGGGCGGTCTTCCAATCCGTCAATGTCGAGACCTCCTGATGCGCGACCGCCGGTGCGGCCCATAGTGCGGTTTGCACGCTCTGCCTGGCGCGCTTCGTGCTTCTCGCGGGCGCGCAATTGCCTCTGTTTCTCCTTGAATGTAGCTTCCTCACGCTGTCGGCGGAGCTCGGGGTCTTCGTCAACGTTGATAAACGATATGGCTTGGTCGGCATCGTCTCGGCCCTTTGCTGCGACCTTGGCAAGGTCGTTTTGCAGCTTTTCCAGCGCGGCGTCTTTTGTGTTCGACGTGGGTACGACATTGAGGGATGCCGTAAGCTTGTTCGTGACGCGCATAACGTTCGCTTCCTCGTACGGCGCAACCAGGTATGTGTAGCTCTCCTTCTTCGCGCTTGTCTTGCCATTCTTCTCGTCTTTGACAGCCGTTGGCGTGGGAATCTTGGGGTTGACTTGCGGTGGGGCTAGGGTGTTCGCATCGATGTCGTACTGGGTTGTAGGGTCGGTCGCAAGTTGAAGGGTTAGGGAGCCGTCTGACCACCTAAGGATCCGAGCATTGGACTGTAGGACGGCGTTATTCGAGGGTGAGCGTCGCCATCTGACCGTGGTCATGGCGGTGTTGTAGGCTGAGAAGTGCTCAGACGCGGTGAGCTTGGAGTGGTGGTCTGTGGTCGGCGGCTGGAAGGTCTTGTGATCGAATGCTTTGTCTTCGAAAGACAAGAAGCGCGGAACTTTCAAAAGGTAAAGCTCGTTGTCGGTGGGCTCGGGAACGGGATGTCGCGCCAGGTCGGCGTCCATGTATGCAAATGTCTGTTGCTCGACCTCCTCCACAGCTTCTGGTGCCCTGACGCGATCTGCCCGTCCCTCATCGTCGCCTGAATCGAGCTCTGCATCATCAAGCTTTCGGTGCTCACTAAACACGTCAGTCTAACACTGGGACTGGATTCTTCGCGACCTACGCTGGCGCATCTTCACCTGCATCTCCGTCTCCGTCGCCAAACAGGTCATCTTCATCATCCTCGAGACCGTTATCCTCCACAGTGTTTAGCGGCGTGCCATCGTCGGCGTTCCCAGCAGGAGTTGCCTGGCCATTGACTTCTTCGTCGGAGAGCTGGCCCGCGTCGGACATGGTCGCGGTTGGTGGTTTGCTGGTACCTCTGTTGGTATCGTATCCAGACTCTTCAAGACAGCGATGCGACCGTAGACCTAGAGTTGCGAGTAAATTGACGAGATAGATGCGGTAAAGGTACGCGCACCGATTGATGGCCGCGATGAACAAAGTTGCGACCAGTAACCCATGAGAATCGCGCTATCCCAATCCATGCTAGCGTGCCGCCCCTTCTCGATGCAGCCCTTAGGAGAGTGGGCCCAAAAAGCGTGCCCGCTCGAGACGTATCACCAACATCCTCCCCCTCAATCCTCTTGCATACCTTCATAAGCCGGCCTCTCTAGGTGCATTGGACGTATCCGCCCCGTACCCCCCACACTAAATTCCACGAATCCGCAAATCATGGCCTCTTTTTTCGCAAACGTGTAAGTTGCTTGGCACATGCTCCCCTTCCTCAAATGCTCGCGCCTCCCACCCCCAGTCCACGGCCTGAAACATTCAGGCATTTGCTGCATGTCGTCTCACGATTTCACTTTCTGATATGCACCACTTTTCGGCATCTCCCTGCCGTCTTATTGTGTTATAACTTGCGTCTGTCGGAGCCTGAAGTTGTCTTTTCCTCATTCTAACAACTTCACCGATAGTCGCCAAGGATTGGCTGGTCGATCCAACAAGGGCCAACAGCAGCAGGGCAAAGGTGGCTCCGCGTCGCCAACCACTCCATACTCGGCTTCACCAACAAACCAACAACCTCCAGGCCAACCGCCTATGCCCCATTCTCCAGCTCTTTCCTCTGCCATGTCGTTCGAAAGCCAAGGTGCTCCGTCGGACGGGTCCGTGCCGTCTGGCTCCCGCAGACCGCCTTTCTTCTTCCGCGAAGAGTACTCCAACTTGATCGTCAAGGGTAACTTTATGACTTTGGCTGCGAAGCCGAAGCTAGTCGAAGAGGGCGAATGGCTTGCACATCAAGGTACGTTTATACTTTCCAATGCCCCGATATCGCTAAGCATGTGACCAGTTGTCGAGCAGTACAGGCTACTCGAGCAAATGATTGAAATCATCAAGGTAACAGACGACCGGACAGGCAAGCCTGTCTGCAACCCAGATACCTGCCCTACCATGTCTGCTAGTGGCCACACATACACCTGGCTGGACAACAACAAGAAGCCCATCAAGATCCCCGCAATCCAGTACATCAACCTCGTTCAAAAGTGGATCGTGGGCAAGATCAATGACCCCAACATCTTCCCCACAGACACCACAGCCATCTCTATCGGAGCATCAACCTACGCATCTGGTTCTATGACACCAACCTCAACGCCACAGCCTCTCGGCCCAACCAGTTCCAATGCCTCAATGTCCCAACTCGCCGGGCGCGAGTGGCTCGGCAAGTCGTCTGGCTTCCCTGAGACTTTCGAGGGCGACATCAAGAGTATCTACCGCCAGATGATGCGATGCTATGCACACATCTACCACGGCCACTGGCTGGACCCGTTCTGGAACGTGAGTGCGTACAAGGAGCTCAACACGTGCTTCATCCATTTCATCAACGTCGGCAAGCTGTTCAACTTGATCGGCGACAAGGAAATCGAGCCCATGCAGCCGCTGGTCGACCTCTGGGCTGAGAAGGGACTGCTTCCGCCAATCACAGCGGCCAAGGAGGCAGGTGGGCAGCAGGCTGCACCCGCGTCTTGAGCGACAAGAGTATTCCACTTAAGTAACGAAATGGGCGCCATTTGACATGGAACACCACATCAGCAAGCTATCAACATTTATCGCCTTGCATGGGTAGCGTGAGGGGTCTGGGAGGGGATGATTGGCGTTCTGGCATGTATTACGATTTGCGCAATGTAGCCCTACATGTGAATAGAGCAATGGACAGTTCTGAACAACTTCTCGGATCATCACACACATGCAGTCAAAACAGCAGCTAGTAAGAAGAGACTCAAATTTGACAGTACCACGTAAAGTAACCAGAGAACTGATTTCCCAACGATCCCAGAAACGAAATGTCATAGTACTTCACACAAACTCCAATGGCGAAAAGAGAAGAGAAACCATGTGTCTCCGCTCCACCATCCGATCTGACATTTGACACCGATGCAAATACATTTCATGGGTCCGTGGTTTTGTAGAGATGCGTCATGGCTGGGCTCTGCCACAACGATGGGGCGTGCGTTCGTTATAAGAGGTCTGTGCTAGCAGACGGTTGGCATTTTCGTGACTCGCTATGTGACGGTTCGCGCTCGCCGAACTTAGTTGTGACCGGCCTTGCGGAGAGAGTTGCTCAACCACTCGAGACCCTCGTAGAGACCGTCACCGGAGGTAGCGCAAGTCGACTGGATGTACTGCGGGGGGTTAGCTGACACGCTTTTGAAGCAGGGGGGACCCGGAACATACCCAGGCACGTTGTCGGAGGCTGTGAAGACCAAGCTTGTCGGTGATCTCAGCGGCGTTCATGGCGTTCTGACGCATTGTTAGTCGTTTGGACATTTGTGTTCACGGCTGTTGAAACCTACAGGCAAATCCTGCTTGTTGGCAAAGACAAGGAGGAGAGCGTCCCGCAGCTCGTCCTCGTTCAACATGCGCTGGAGCTCCTCACGCGCCTCAACAACACGGTCGCGATCGTTGCTGTCAACGACGAAGATGATACCCTGGGTGTTCTGGAAGTAATGCCTCCACAGAGGACGGATCTTGTCCTGACCGCCGACATCCCACACGGTGAACTGAATGTTCTTGTACTCGACGGTCTCGACGTTGAAACCTGTAGGTCGAAGAATCAGCGCATTGTCCTGATTGAGCTCATGCTGCACATCGCGACGTACCGATGGTGGGGATGGTGGTGACGATTTCACCGAGCTTGAGCTTGTAGAGAATGGTGGTCTTTCCGGCAGCGTCAAGACCGACCATGAGAATGCGCATCTCCTTCTTTCCCCATAGCTTATCGAACAGCTTCGAAAATGTGAGACCCATGATTGCGGTGGGTGTGTGTGGTGTGTAGGGCGGGTGAGTTGGGAGGCGGTGTATAGACTCTCGAACCTGCGACACTAGTTGTCAGAAGAGGGTTGAGGAGAGTATCGTGGCCTTGTCGGCTGGTATTGAGCACGGTGACGGGAGTCGCATGGCCGGCGCAGCCATGTTGAGCGCCCGTTGCGGAGTCGACTCGAGGCCACGAGGGAGCTGGCCAGGCGCCGGCTACGGGTTGGGCAAAGCAAACGCAGAAAAAACAATGCAGCGGCGATTGACTTACGGACAGGTTCAAGAGAGTCGGTGGTATTCGGGGATGGGGCGGGTGGATGTGATGTACTCTAAACGATGCACAGGAAGGGCTGCGTTGAAGAGATGTGGTGGAAAGCGCGGCGAAGTCTGGGCACTGTTCGTAAGCTGGCAAGTGCCACTGACACGTGACAAGGGCGGCGATCGCTTATCGTCGTTTTGTTGAAGGAGTTGCGGTGAGAGGCTTCTTGCTTTCAGCTATTCCTTTACTTGGAACGCTTCTTATGATCGCTACTAAAAACTTGACACGTTTTGGCTCTCCTGAAGGCCGGATGTGGAACCCAAGGCACCCATTTATGTTCGGTTGGGCGATCAGCTGCCCCGGGATTGCGTGAGCTCCAGACCCACACCTATCCGCACTACTGACTGGGCAACCGCTGTATACTGACGTCTGGTCAACGCGTGTGTAGTTCGTGAGATATTCTGGGTCGCATTGATCAATGCGCATGCGATTGTCTTTCAGGGTGACCGAGGGACGCGGACCACTCAGAACACCTTGAAGTCTAGCAACGGGACGGCATGAACCAGCCACATCAGTAAGTCGAGGCCATTCTCCTGGTTTAGGCATCAATACTTCCAAGAAGACAACATCACATCATCGAGTGGACACATGGTTACTGTAAGGCAGCATTGACATTGATGTCGTATCAGCTAATCTCGCCGTATCCTCGTCACCCGCAATTGTCTTCTGCTCCGGTCGTTCATCTAGCTTGTCGCTCGAGTACCTCGACTACCCTGACTCCATCCGCGATCCTAGACCTCGGTGGCCATGGCTCCGGCTGCCCGGATGATGGTACGGAAGCACAGCGAGACGCTTGCAATCCAAAGGCCACTGCGAACAAGTGTAGGCGCCTGAGTCGAAGTGGTGATGTAGGCGGCGGTGTAGGCGACCCTGACAGCTAGGAACGAAGCGCTGAACGAAGCGAGCTCGCCCTGCGGCAAGCCAGCCATGTTGCCGAGGATGACGGCGCCCATGAAGAGAGGAAGGTTCTGTTACTGTTAGTCCGACGGACGTTACAACAAGAGTCGATCAAATCTCACCTCCATCCCGTTGGCATGACAGGCCTCCATACGTTCGTACTTGGCGTAGGTCTCAGCAGGCAGGCGCTTCTTGAGCTCGGCCTTCATGTCGTTGGAGCGCGGGCTTCGGTTGTCCCACTCGAGGAGATTGCCCCGAGTAGCGACACTCACAGCGAGAGCGTGAGGAAGGAACGAGACTGGACAGAGAGGAGCTAGGTCAGACTACCGATCGAACGTAACCTCCCAGGAACAGCATGTACATACGGATGAGGTAGGCTGGGATCGCCAGGACCGAGGCGTTGTAGCCGTCGAGGAAGGAAGGCATGTTGTTCTTGCGAGTGTCTGGCTGTTGTTAAGGTGTCGTGTGTTGGTAGAGGAGGAAGGAAGCTCTGTTGTGAGCGAGGAGCTTTATTCGTCTTGTGGGGCTGTATTCCGCGGTGACTGCCTTAAGAAGTGAGTACCAGGTGAAGTGAGGGTCGCTAGCACGGGTGCTCTTTCCTCGCGAGGACATGTTCTACGGCCCGCGGTGACACCGCTACGTGAATGTGGAAGTCGCGCAGTCACTGACAACAGCGCTACACCTCATACAAGGAAAAGATTGAACAGGCCTGCAGCCTACATTAACATAGAAACATGCAAATCAGATAACCTCGGGTCTACGCTCCAGGGTCTTCAGCTTTCTCCATGAATGAGGTGGCCAGGTCAGATCGTGGAGACATCACGCGCTCAACCTCAGGTGTCTACAGGGCCACAGGGTGTACGAAAAAGACCCTGCAAGGGTCTCAGGACTTATTGAGGAGGCAAGCGAATTGATCCTTGGTATTCGGCAGGCTACCTCTACAGCTCGCTGACTGTCACTGCGGGGCGTGATGTATGCCCCACCTTCAGGGCTGTCACCATACGCATCGCCCCCTCCGTACAATTTTCCCTCCACGCTATACCTTCATCTAGCGATTGCATCCGTGTTCAATACATTGCGCAAACACACGATACGTTACGATTGTTCGGAAAGACCGCCTCAACGATACCAAGCCTTGTTCAGCCGATTAACATGGACGTTACGAAAGGTGCTCCTCGAGAAGTTTGTGCCGTATGCTGGGGAGTTTGCGGATTCGCATCAAGCAGAGAGGATCTTGAGATGGCCAAAAGTCTAGAGGGTCTCACTTCATTTTGTCAGGCGCAAGACTTACTTGCAGCATCAGCCCAATGTGAAATGTGTGACTATCTGTTCAACGACGCCAAAAAGGGCAACAGTCGTTTCGATCTAGATGCAAGAATCGCCATCAACATACGGTTTTTTAACTTCGGAGGAGTAGAGAGTTTCAAAGGTTCTGTCGATAACCTAAGGATTTTTACAAAGGTAGAGGGGCAAGATTCACGTTGGTTTGTAGACCCAGACTGGTCGGATGAATTGGGGTTTATTACATGGTCCGTTCTGGCTCACCGTGGTTCGTATCCCGCCCGCAACCATGACTTAGCATCAACTAACGTTATTTGCGATGTTCAGATGATCCTGCGGCAGCAGAGATTAAATGTTCTCCAGTCAATCACGACGTCAGCTCTAGCACCAAGCAAGCGAAATCATGGATTGAAGAGTGCAAGCAGCTTCACAAGCACTGTCCCGAACCCGCTATTCCTCTATTACCCACAAGAGTTTTAGATGTCAGCGAACAAGCTATTCGACTGCATATTCCCAACGGCGAACGGCGCCATTACTGTGCTCTAAGCTATTGTTGGGGTCGTCCACAACCGGTACGGACGTTGGCCGAAAACATAGAAAGCCACAGAACCGGCATCCAAATCTCAGCTCTACCACAAACTATACAGGATGCAGCATCTTACACGCGGAACTTGGGGGTCAAGTATCTGTGGATTGATTCGCTCTGTATCGTGCAGGACAGCGTAGATGACAAGCGTCAAGAAATTGCGAGGATGGCAAGCATTTATCAAAATGCATTTGTCACCATTGCAGCTACGAACGCATCAAGATGTGTAGACGGCTTTCTATCCAAAAGACGCAGACCGAGTTATGAAACTTTTGTCGGAGATCTTCCCTGGAGCTGTCTCGATGGTAAGCTTGGGAAGGTGTCCTTGCACCGTCAATTTTCTGGAAAACTACGGCAGGAGCCACTCGACAGAAGAGCATGGGCCCTGCAAGAATATGTACTTTCACCACGCGTACTGTCTTTCTCCTCACAACAGCTAGTGTGGGAGTGTCAAACCGTCAGATACACCGATGGAGGAAACCCTGAGTCACAGGGACTCTTTGAGATGGCCAAATCCAGAACAGAACCATCCATGTTATCACCCTTGACAGCTGCAATAGTTTCAAAGTCTCCGCGCAGTATCTCCGCGCATGAAGTATGGGGAAACGTCGTGAAAAACTTTACTCGGAGGGAAATGACTGAAGAAGGCGACAAGCTTCTGGCAATATCCGGCATTGCCCAGCAACTCCATCTCATTACGGGAGACGAATACTTAGCTGGGTTGTGGAAAGCGTCTCTAATGTCCGAGTTGATGTGGTCCCACGACTTGAAGTTCGACATTGCCAATGGTCCCCAACCCGCTAGACGACCCGAGACATATCGTGCGCCATCATGGTCATGGGCTTCTGTTGACGGAGCTATCGAATTTTGTGGGTCACTGTACGGACTAAAGCCAGTATCAGAAGTCGTGCAGTGTGAGGTCCTCTTGGCAAACTCGAGCAAGCCATTTGGGGCTGTCATTGATGGTCGCTTGGTGATACGAGGGCCGTTACGTTCGCTGGAAATAGACGAAGCTCTCCAGTACTTCGATCTGGGCCCTGCCAAATTTGGATGGGCAAAAATACCCAGAATAATCCTAGACGGGAACGAAGTTTTGCCAGTCTCCAGTGCAGTCTCGCTGCCGGACAGCATTTCAGGTGATGCTCAAGTTGATCAGCGCATATGGTTACTGGAGACGGGTCGCTACGACGCATATCCTTGCGGCTTTGTCCTTCGCCAGGCTTCTCAGAAAAATCATCGATCATTCCGTCGCATTGGCTGGTTTGATACTAGATCGCCATCGTTTGACGCAACATGGTGGGCCCGCGATACTTCTATAGAAACAATCACGATAGTTTGAAGAAGATTAGGAGCCACTTCAGCTCGAAGGGATGGGAGGATACGCGAATGCGAACACACGCTTGGTATCCCAAACTCCGAGACTCCCGAAGACTGTTCCATGTATGTACTACAAGATGGCTACATGTCATTCAACACTCCTTCAGCAAAGCTCCCAATCCCTTCTAGAGATCGGCAGGTGGCAGAGTATCTTCACATATATAACGCACTAGACAGCCTGTCGGCCCACCGACGCACTCCTGATACGGCTCACATTCTGCGCACGGCGGTTCGAAAGCCCTACACTCCTCTGGGGCGTAACACGTAGCGCCCCGACAATCTGTAGCCTGTGGCCGCAACCCCGTCTTGTCCTTTGGCTTCGAGACCATCGTGCTCGGATCGAGAGGGACAACGAAGTCAGGAACAGTCAACAGTTGAGTTTCATCTGTGACTGCACGTCCGTCGACGCCGGCCCATGTATCGCACTGATCAGGGTGCTTCCAGGCGACGAATTCTTCGACGTGATGGGCGGAGAGTTGAATGTAGTCAACCACTTCGGTACGAGCGGCGTTGAGTCGGCGCAGAACTCCGTCATATCCTAGCACACGGACGCCATTGTCACTCTTAAGCATCATGAGGGCATCGCGGAGGGACTGGGCATGTTCATCTAGTATCAGTCATTTGCGTTGTATGTTTCGTGCAGACATACCATTGCGTCGTCATATTCAGCAGGGAGACTTCGGATTCTTCCCACGAGTAGAAATGTCACCGTTGCAGATAGGGCAGTTGAGAGCTTCATGGTAGCAGCAGACGATACAGTGTTGTTAATGAATACGATGTAGAACTCTGGCTCGATAGATTGTGTACTTCAACATTGACGAAAGTTCATGCTTTATAATCTTCGGCTTGAGTCGTCGAGGTGCTTGAGAATCCGCGCATCCACGCTACATACGTCGGCATTATCGTCATTGTTGGCAATCCGAACGGTCTGAGTAAGCGAAAACGGAGCGTTAATATAAAGTCACGTCCACTGCGTCTCGCTTCTTGCTTTTCCCCTCTTTCCATCGACTGTGCCACGCCCAGGCAGTTCTACGCAGCAACGAACTCCCAATCACCAAGTATTCACCGTAAGCACTCCTTCTTCACTCCCTTGACATACTTGATCGCTAACACAGGCTATATTGTCTCTCAGCCTAAATTGCCTCATTTTAGGACTGAACAGCAGATTGCGCATCATGTCGACACCCCGTCCGGAGGTGCGACCAGATCAAGAAGTAGTGGGGAAACACGAAGACGATCCTGCCTCTTCAAGTCAAGCAGAGCCACAAGCTGCAGAGCACGACGATGTCACTTCACACGGTGCTGCACCAGCTGACATAGAGGGTCAGCCCAGTGCCACGGATGAGCTCCGCGAGGTACTCAAATTGTTGAAGAGACCACCGCACGGAAATCACACCCGAGGTCTCTGCAACGACGGTATTGTCAGATACATGGTCTGGTTGCCAACACCAGATGATGAAGTAACTCGTCAAGGCGTATACGATGCCCAGCCGTTATCTCCTAGGATGATCAAGCGGTGGCTTGACCGGAAGCCATGGAGCCAGGCAGTCGAGGATCGCTTCCGCGGAGTAGACGGGCGAAATGCTCCCAAAGAGTAAGCCGTATCTCCATGCAGTATGCATCTCGTTCAGTTTTGCTGATCGTCGATGTTGTGTAGACAATGGTTAAATCCGCCTCCGGGGGTGTTGCCGTTCCCGGGAACGCTTAATGAGCGCATGGCTGCGGTTGAGCAGAACCAGCTAGAACGGAAGGAACAACAGAAGGAACTCGAAGAGAAGATTGCGCGTGGAGAGATTGAGAAGCCTGCTCCTCGAAAGCTTTGTGGAAGCTGGGACGTGATAAGTGACTATAATCTTGATCCTCGCTAGGTTGGTTGATGAGCTCAGCATCAGCTTCTGCTGGGCAAAGAAGTTCGGGTGCTACAAGTTGTGCCCAGAATAGCAAAACCTACCATGAAGTCATTCGTTCAAATCTTCGCCTAGAGATTTAGGCCTGATGACAGTGTGTTCTTCAAACAACTTTAGGATGTAAATACGACTCGCTCAGAACCGAATGAGGACGCGCATAAAGACAGTCTGAACGAATGTCTCGTAGTCTTCAGAGAAAGTTGAGCAATAGGAAGATGACGCAGGAAAGTATTGGCAATGCCAGATCTGGAAGTGTCAAGACCGACAACGTCACCGCCCACTGGGCCAACCTGGACAGCTGCCACGACCTGCAACCCTCCGTGAGAGTGACGAAAGAACAGATTCAAACATTCGGGGTGTGATGAGAAGATAAGAAAATTAAGGAGGTGTATGCTTTGCATGTCGGCGGCTTCGCGCCGGCCGACTCCCGCTCCGGGACCCACTTAGCGTAGGCAGATTCACTTTCAGATCGATCTGACAGGGTCTACGACACCTTTTTTCGATGCAAGCAGATCTCCACTTTCAACAACACGCTCATGTCATCTTGGGTATCTAGGCACCCACACAATGGTGTTGGAGGCTCGTAACGCTACCTTCCCTGGGCAGGCGTTAGCGCATACGAGATGACATCAGAGAACCAGACGGTTCGCAGGTGGCTGGGAGCCAAGACGATATCGTTGAACAAAATAGTCCACGTACTTCGATGATGAAGTGCTCAGCGGACGGAAAAGGATAATTCCAGACTGGGTCTCAGATCTCCAAATCCCGGTACAACTGACTAGGTCCCTCGACGGCGTGGCGGAGAGTATACCGAAAGAAAAAGAATGGGGAATTAGATTGCGCGTTATGACCTAACGGGCGTTGTGGGTTCATTCCCGTGGGTTCAATGCCGAGAGAGCCTCCTGGATGTATGACAACATCGCAATATAGCGCAACATGTTGAGTCAAGCGTCGGAGTTCTTGAGGTGCGTTTCTGCGAGATGGAAACGATGGACTTGGCTTTACGTAGAAAGAATGGGGTCGCGTTTTGCATAAAGAGGAAGAGGCTCCCGGCTTGGAAAAAGCAGACACAGACACGAACAGCTTCAACCTCATCTTCTGAACTTCTAGTCATTCCATCAATCTGCAGCAATCATGCCCAGCTCTTCGCAACAACCTCTTCGCCAGTCTGGCATCTATCATAACCTTCCCACCTTTGACTCGAGCGCGAGGGATCTCAAGGCCATAGTATGCGGAGCAACTGGAATCTCAGGCTTCAACACCATCCGCTCTCTCCTCGACACGCCCGACCGCTGGTCCAAGATCTACGCCCTATCCCGCTCACCCATCTCTAAAGAGCTCCTCTCCTTCCTCACAGATGAGCAGCGCGCCCGCCTGCAGCACATCTCCATCGACCTCAGCTCCTCCAGTGATGAAATCGCCAAATCACTCAAAGAAGCTGGCGCAGAAGCCGACTACATCTTCTACTACGCCTACCTCCCTCCTGGCAACGGAAAAAGCGACATGGACCCCAGTTCCGCCGAAGCTCTAATCGAAGCCAACGTGCCCCCCTTCAAGAACTTCCTCGGCGCCCTCCCAATTGCAAACATCAAACCCAAACGCTTTCTCCTCCAGACGGGAGGCAAGAACTACGGCATGCACATTGGCCGTGGCCGCAACCCAATCGTCGAATCTGACCCCCAGCCCAAACACCTCAGCCCAAACTTCTACTACCACCAAGAAGACCTACTCTTCAAGTTCTGCGAACAATACCCAGAGACAGACTGGAACATCATCATGCCCGCAGCCGTCATCGGCGCCGTGCAAAGCGCAGCCATGAACACGTTTCTCGCATACGGCGTTTACGCCGCTGTCCAAGCGCACAGGAAACAACCTCTTCAGTACCCCTCAGACTTCCACAGCTGGCAATCCGGATACACGCATTCCACCGCGCGTCTAACCGGGTACCTGAGTGAATGGGCGGTGTTGGAGGACTCAGCCAAGAACCAGCGTTTCAATGCTCAAGACGGCGAGCTCATCAGCTGGGACCGATTCTGGAACGAGCTTGCCCGTTGGTTCGGCGTCGACACTGTGCTTGGTCCTGAGGAGGACGAGTCGAAATACGAGAGCAAGTACTTCGCTGGCGGTAAGGACTGTCCACTTGGTTACGGTCCCCCCATTGAGCTCAAACTCGCACACTCGCTGTGTAAATGGGCGGAGGACCCTGCGGTGCCGAAGGCCTGGGAGGAGATGATGGAGCAGTCGAACGGGCAGCTGACGGTCAACATCCCGGAGAAGGACAAGCAGACGTTGGTGATGGCGGACTTTTCTTTTACCTATCTGGGTACGTTGTCTGGGACTAAGGTGCGCAAGTTTGGGTTCAGTGGGTTTGTTGATACTATCGAGAGTGTATTTGAGACGTATCAGGATATGGCGAAGCTGGGTATGTTGCCGCCTATGAAGGTCGATTCTGCGAGGGGGCTTGTGTAGGGGTAGCTGGTGGCTGTTTCTCGTCACTGTGGCTCCTCGCTCCTCGCTAACAACCATTTGGACAATTACTCTCAGATAGACTCCTACATGCTAGATATGAGTGGCCATGCTGAATGCAAATCTACATCAAATCCTTCACCCGCTCTTCGCTCTCCTTGATCCACTGATCCAGCAGCTGCCTATTCCTCGGCTTGAACCCGACTTTGAAGTACTTCGGTTCAAGGGTCAAACTAGTTGGGATATCGTTCGCATCAAGGCAGTCCATGACCGCTTCGTCCCGCGGGTCTACCGGCGGCGTGAACTTGAAAGCCGAGATCAACCTCACAAAAGCAGTAAACAGCTCGCGGTTAGCGAGATGCGAACCAACGCACATACGTGAGCCAGCGCCGTATCCGTAATGTGGTGTTCCCGCACCATCTGGAACGTCGAGGTAGCGCTCTGGATCGAATTTCTCCGGGTTCTTGAAGTGCTCTGCGTCGTAGTCGGCGGCGTATGCATTCATGTAGAAGGTCGTTCCCGCTGGGATGTTGACGCCATTCCATTCGATGTCCTTGATCGAGACCCTGGGGAGGCAGATGGGTATGACGGTCCAGTATCGCAGTATTTCTTTGTATAAAGCGGTGATGTACGGGATCTTCTCCTCGTGGAGACAACGCTCCCAGGCATCGTTGTTGGGGTATACTTTCATGATCTCATCGTATGCGCGTTGTTGGATCTGCTGGCCATGGGGAGTTGCAAGGTATGCGATACCCATGATGAGGTTGCCTGGTACGGTGTCGAGACCGGCTGATACCATGGTCAGGCAGATAGATTTGATCTCAGCTGCTGAGTGTTAGTGCGAACGAGGCCGAAGGCTAGACGCTCTCAACATACCTCTGTTCAGCTTCGCTTCTGGGTCCTTGATGATATTGCCGGTGATGCACGGTTTGTCAGTACCCTTCTCAATCCTCTCTTCCAGTGTGTTTATGAGCCGGTCCATGTACACATCTCGCCTCTTTCGGAAGCTGATCGCCTCATTGCTTTGGCTAGGGAAGAGTCTTAGAAGTGGCACATAGTCCTGCCAGTTGTTGCTCGTCGACCTGAAGTTCCCTACACCACGCTCAACATCCACAATCTCTTTCAGCAGAGGAGCGTCCTTGTTGCCGTCTATTCTGTATCCGTAGTTGAGCGTCAGACTCGTGTTCAGGGCATATCGTTGCCAGTATGCTCGCGGATCTAGATCGATCTCCCCACCCTTACTGTCATGTAGTAGTTCCTTGATGGAGACGGTGGATTCGAGATCGATGAGAGGCATGTAGGACTGAACGGCGGGTCGGTTGAGTGCCGTGGCAGCGGCCTTGCGACGGTTCTTGCAAGACTCATCCCATGGCGAGGTACCGATAGTGAAGCCTTGGGAGGAAGACACCACCTTGTGGAACGTGTGAAGCATAGGTCGAGAGATCATTGCGGATTGGTTTGTGATCCAGAGATGGCGGACGGAATCGAACGAGTTCGCGAATACGATCCTCTAGACATTGGTGTTAGCATTGATATTTGTTATGATGTGCTCAATTCATGCAAGATCCAAACTTACCCTGTTTCCCATCCTCACTTGGAAGACGGGGCCATACTTCTTCGCCCACCCTTGCGCTACTTTCGCATGGTTCGTACCAAGCTCGTGCAAGCTTCCAAAAAGAGGCAGGCCAGGGACTTCTGGTAGTCCCTTGATATGTGGTGTATCAGTTCCATAGAGCAATCTATACAGGAAGAACCCCAAGACAGCAACGCCGGCGATGTAGATGGGGATAGTCATTTTCTCGACAAGACCCGAGGTCAATGAGAAGACGTGAGAGAAGTGGAAGCTGGAAGCTCGTAATCCTAGAGCAAGAGCGAACCCTAAACAGGTCGGTAGCACTTATAGCAGTAGAAGACGTCCGATGCCATGCGCTTTCTCTTAGGAGGATATCCCTAGCTGGACACGCCGTTCCGAGGTCAAGCTCAGCATGATTAGCTTCCGTTTGACTGGCCACGAAGGATCCGAGCTTTAATTTCAATGGAGTAAGCCCATTGCTGCGGGGCATCCGCCGCCTGTGTCATGGTGCGCGCAGAAGCGTATGTTGATGCAGCGGAATAAAGCCGCGAATTGATGGTGTTGATGCTAGTGTCAGGGTGCGGAGACGGACGCATTGTGGAGTCTGCTAACTGCTTCGGGAACAGATGATGGGCACGACAAGCTTTCAATGGGATGATGGAGCTCTTTGGCACTCACATCGAACCTTTGTAGCGGAAAGAGCCTCAAAATCATATGCCAGTGGTATAGGTAGTATTGTCGGCCTCTTGCGCGGCCCCTGCCAATTTGCGACCCTCCAACGCGCTGAAACCCGATAGGCTCATCCATCTCAGGTTCTCACCGGCCGGATGCTTCAAACTTTGCACTAAAGCATCTATCTGCAAGAACATGCGGATCTCGGGCTGCGTCATTTTGTGACTTCTGCCGCATAGTGGATAGGCTTCCAAAAATTGTAGCAGCGGAATAATTCCTTGTGCACAGGATCAGGTATCGTACTCAGCACATGTTTGTACTGCTGGTAGCTCCGCTCGCACAAAGCTCGGAGATGATGAGACTTTGATTTCTGAGACCTTTCAATGACTATCAGAGCGCTCAAGCAAAGCTCAACTTCAGCGCAGGCTCAATGCGACCCACACACTCTCCAAAGCCAACCAAAGCCTCCTCGTCTGACCCGCATACTCCTCGAATAGTGATCTCATCCCCGTCCTCCAAGAAAGTCCTCTTCTCGCCACCTTCTAGAGCTATAGTCTCCTTCCCATTGTTGCTTTGCTCTAGAAAACTTCCGTACTCGGTTGGGGAGTTCCCACTTATGGTGCCAGAGCCCAGCAGGTCACCCGGTTGGAACGGACATCCGGTGATGGTGTGGTGTGTCAGCATCTGCGGGAATGACCAGAGTAGATTTCGTGCATTTACTTTCGATACCGTTGTTTTGTTGCCGGTCGACGCTGAAGACGATTAGTACGTGGCAATCAAGATGATACGCAGATGTACATACTCTTAACATCGACTTCGAGGTTAATGTCGTATACACTCTTCTCGTCCTTCTCCTTCAAGTAGGGCAGCACTTCCGCATCATTCTCCAACCCCTTCGTCTTGAATGGCTCCAGTGCATCTGCGAGTACAACCCAAGTGCTGATCGTGGTGCCAAAGTTCTTCGCATTGAAAGGCCCAAGGGGTACGTATTCCCAAGCTTGAATGTCTCTCGCAGACCAGTCGTTCATGAGCACAACACCGAACAGATTCTCTTCGGCTTTCTCGATCGGAATTGGCACTCCCTGCTCATTTGACCCGCAGACAAAAGCACCTAGCTCCAGCTCGATGTCCAGCTTCTTACATGGGCTGAATGTAGGCACCTTCTTTTCTGCGGTAGGATCGAGTAATATCTGACCATTGGGCCGCCGGATAGGTGTTCCTGATGGAACTACTGAAGATGCTCGACCATGGTAACCGACTGGGAGATGTTTGTAGTTTGGTTGCAGTGCGTTCTGGGGTCCTCTGAAGATGACGCCGCAGTTGTAAGCATGGTTCATCCCCGCAAAGAAATCAGTGTAGTCGCCAATCTTGAATGGCAGATGTGCTTTGATTTCCTTGAGCGGTATCAAGGCTTGCTTTTGGAGTGCCGCATTGTTCTTCAGAACATCGGGGTATGTTGTATCGGCAGAGAAGACGCTTTGTATGTACTTGCGAACCACAGAGTGGATTGGGTGGCCAAGCGCTGCAAACGCGTTCAGCGATGGTTGCGAGAAGACAGCTTGATGTGGCTGTATCGTAGAGAGACCGGAGAAGCCATTGTTTGCAGCAAAGACTTGGAGATCTAGTGCGTGATCTCCGATGGCGACTGCCAGGCGCGGTGACTGAGATGACGCTGTCGAGATGACACCAAACGGGATGTTGGCTAGTGAGAAGTGTGAGCCACGAGGTATGTTGAACCAAGACCGCAGCGAAGCCATGATTGATGTCTGTACGCAATAATTCTTGCTACACGAGTATACCTGTCAGGGTCAACGGGAGGACTACGGAAACTTGCAGGCTCGGATTTTCGGCCCCATAGTCTCCATCCTTGAGCCATGGTGCAAGTGGTGCTTGATGGCTGGCGGCTTGTGACGGATGAGGCGGGCTCGGAAAGATTCCGTCACTTGCCAACAGACAGGGGTCATGCGCTCTCCGCCTGTGGGGTAAGCCGAGTGCTTTCTTCTCCGCTTTGCTGCTGCGACGCGACAAACGACGGAATCTGAAGCCGCCCATTACCGCACTTCGCGACTTCGCGCCTGCGCGATGGCCGAGCCACAGCTTGCCACGGCTACTGCGATGCTGCATGCCCGCAACATCCGCGCAGGGTATTTACGCATCTGGTGCCGTACGCGCGTGTTTGATTATTGCCCACTGTTGTTTTTACGGAGGCTCTTCTCTGGTTGATCGATCCTGTGCACACCAACGTCACGATGCCGTCTACTCAGTTTGCTTTCAAGGAGAAATACCGATACCAGAATGGCTTCAACTCTTACCATGAGTATGGGCGCGACTGCTCTGCTGTGACGACATACACTAACAATCTCCAGGACGGAAGCAGTAGAAGGCGCGCTTCCAATTGGCGCAAACTCGCCTCAGAAACCCCCATATGGTCTCTATGCCGAGAAGCTCTCGGGCACCGCCTTCACAGCCCCGCGACACGAGAACCAGCAAACGTGGCTGTACCGCATCCTGCCCTCCTGCGGACACAGCAACTTCGAGCCTCGCGAGTCCAAGACGTTCAACACGAACCCCGAGAACAAGCCGTGGGAGAAGATACACTACATCCCAAACCAGTTACGATGGGATCCCTTCGATCTCGACGAGACGGTGGACTGGGTGCACTCACTCCATCTAGTGGCGGGTGCGGGTGACCCTACAATGAAGTCAGGCGTCGGATACTTTATCTATGCCGCAGGAAAGGACATGGAAGCCAACGAGGCATTCTACTCGGCTGATGGCGACTTCTTGATTGTGGCACAACACGGCGTGCTCGATATCCAGACGGAACTGGGGCGCCTCGTTGTGCGTCCGAATGAGATTTGCGTCATACCGCGAGGCATTCGGTACCGTGTCACCTTACCAGAAGGCCCCGTGCGAGGCTACATTTTGGAGCTGTACCAAGGTCATTTCACACTTCCTGAGCTGGGGCCCATTGGCTCCAACTGCCTCGCAAACGCGCGAGACTTCCAGGCGCCAGTGGCCGACTTCGACGAAGACACCGAGACAGAGTGGAACATCCTCGCCAAGTTCGCCGGACACCTATATGCTGCGAAGCAGAAGCATACACCCTTCGACGTGGTGGCATGGCATGGGCTCTACTACCCGTACAAGTACGATCTTGGACGCTTCAACACCATAGGCTCCATCTCATTCGACCATCCAGACCCGTCCATATTCACCGTGCTCACTGCACCAACAGACCGGCCAGGTACCGCAGTAGCTGACTTTGTCATCTTCCCACCGCGATGGTTAGTGGCTGAGAACACCTTCCGACCGCCATGGTACCACCGCAACACTATGTCCGAGTTCATGGGACTCATCGGTGGTCAATACGATGCGAAGACCGGTGGAGGCTTCCAACCGGCTGGTGCTTCTCTACACAATGTCATGTCTGGCCATGGACCCGACGCTGCGACTCACGAGAAGGCATCCAATGTCGACCTACAGCCCAACAAGGTCGGCGAGGGCAGCATGGCCTTCATGTTCGAAAGCTGCCTCATGATTGGCGTAACAGACTGGGGCCTCACAAAGTGCCAGAAGATACAAGAGGGCTACAACGCGGAGAGCTGGGAGCCACTGAAGCCGCATTTCAAGAGGCCTGGCCCTAAGAAGATTGACAATGGTGTCTCGCCACTGGTGGCGGGAACTGAGGGTGATAAGGGCCAAGTGCCTCACTATACCTGAGCGCGAAGAGATCGGGATGTTGTACTTTTAGTGTTTGGCCCGAGTTGGCCACTTCGGTGATATTCGGTGCTTACGACCAGGCTTACTGCATTGGTATCAGTAGGATGGCGCGTCGCGATCAACAGGGTGTCGTTTCAATGCCCCGCAGCGTGGGTTTGAACAAGACGGTGAACTATGAGCATGAATATGAGCATCATGGATCTACCGTGTGAACTACCAAATAATGTCAAAGTCTGCTATGAATCCTCCCCTTACCCTATCGCATTAAATCCTCCGTGACACGTACTAGCAGTGTTGTCGGGCGGTGAGTTGTCTTGGTGCAGTAAAGTGCCGATGTGGAGCAAAGTCTAAGGGTCCACTAGCGTCAACAACTGCTAGAGCGCGGGGCTATCTCTCCCACTTTTCTCCCTCGACGTTTGTTTCTTCATCCTCCCTTCACCCCTCTCCCTCCCTATACCCCCAATACATCACATCAAACCGCCAGAATGTCTGCCCCCGCCCACAAGTTCAAGGTTGCCGACATCAGTCTTGCGGCGTTCGGTCGCCGCGAGATTGAGCTCGCCGAGAACGAGATGCCTGGTCTGATGGAGACTCGCCGCAAGTACGCTGAGGACCAGCCATTGAAGGGCGCCCGCATTGCTGGATGTCTTCACATGAGTATGTCTATCCTTTTATCACTACAGTTACAATGCTAACCCACCCCAGCCATCCAGACTGCTGTTCTCATCGAGACCCTCAAGTCCCTCGGTGCTGAGCTCACCTGGACCTCCTGCAACATCTTCTCCACCCAGGACCACGCTGCCGCCGCCATTGCCGCCGCCGGCGTACCTGTCTTCGCCTGGAAGGGCGAGACCGAGGAGGAATACGAGTGGTGCCTCGAGCAGCAGCTCACAGCTTTCAAGGACGGCAAGAGCCTGAACTTGATCCTCGACGACGGTGGTGACCTCACTGCTCTCGTCCACAAGAAGTACCCTGAGATGCTCAAGGACTGCTACGGTGTCTCTGAGGAGACCACCACCGGTGTCCACCACCTCTACCGCATGCTGAAGGGCAAGGGTCTCCTCGTCCCTGCCATCAACGTCAACGACTCCGTCACCAAGTCCAAGTTCGACAACTTGTACGGTTGCCGTGAGTCGCTCGTCGATGGTATCAAGCGTGCCACCGACGTCATGATTGCTGGCAAGGTCGCCGTCGTTGCTGGTTTCGGCGATGTCGGTAAGGGTTGCGCCCAGGCTCTCCACAGCATGGGTGCCCGTGTCATTGTCACCGAGATCGACCCCATCAACGCCCTCCAGGCTGCCGTTTCCGGCTTCCAGGTTACCACCATGGAGAAGGCTGCTTCTCAGGGTCAGATCTTCGTCACCACCACTGGTTGCCGTGACATCCTGACTGGTGTCCACTTCGAGGCTATGCCCAACGACGCCATTGTTTGCAACATCGGTCACTTCGATATCGAAATCGACGTTGCGTGGCTCAAGAAGAACGCCAAGTCCGTCACCAGCATCAAGCCCCAGGTCGACCGCTACCTCATGAACAACGGCCGCTACATCATCCTCCTCGCCGAGGGTCGTCTCGTCAACTTGGGATGCGCTACTGGTCACTCTTCCTTCGTCATGTCCTGCTCTTTCACCAACCAGGTCCTTGCCCAGATCATGCTGTACAAGGCCTCTGATGAGGAGTTCGGCAACAAGTACATCGAGTTCGGCAAGACCGGTAAGCTCGATGTCGGTGTCTACGTTCTGCCCAAGATTCTCGACGAGCAGGTCGCCCTTCTCCACTTGGCACACGTCAACGTTGAGCTCTCCAAGCTCAGCGACGTTCAGGCCGAGTACCTTGGTCTCCCTGTCGAGGGTCCTTTCAAGAGCGACATCTACCGTTACTAGATTTCTTAATGTCCAGCGTTTGGGAAGTTTCAACACGACGTTATGAACTTCGATGATACCACTTCGAAAAGTTGTCTGTCTTCAACGGCATAGCATCGAGCCTGGGGCTCGGCGGGGTTTGGTCGTTCAAAAGGCGTTGTTTGCAATCATCTACTTGACCCTTCAACCATGGTCAATACCGATGATGATACCCTATGTAAGAGTGAGATATGGATAAAGATAGACTGCGTTATCCACGCAGCATAAGAACAGTAACAGGCCACCGATCTTGACGGTGGACTGAAGAATGAACAATAACGGCGGGCCTCCATACCCGCCTCAACAAACACTTCGTCGATCCATGACTTCTCCCGTGATCAACGTACAGCTACATAAACTTTCGCCACGAACACAGGCATACTCTCATCGGGCCTCACACGAAGATGCAAGAAGTACTCCTTGCGTCTATTCTGACATGTTGACGTCTGCAGTGCCCAAACGTTATTCGTTCTCGCGTCCTCCACATCCATGCCGTATCGCACGCATACGTCAAACGCAACAGACGATCGTACACACTCACAACGTTGCCCAACATTCCAGCGAAGAAACCACGAGACGCATGTTCCGCCGCTAACATCGGATCGGACATGTCGCTGCATGCACGCCACATCAGATACTTCCCGCTCAGCATACGCAGTACGCAGTGTGTATGATGCAGTAACAGTGGACGCAAGGAAGTCACAGCAGCAAAGAATGTGTCAGGTATGCTCCTGCAATGTCATGTACGGACGGACGACACGTTGCTATGCGTAGGCATGGCGGGCCGCTGTAGCTTTCATCCCATGCATTGCATAGTCTGACGGGGAGTGACAAAGTTCAATACATCGGATTGAGAAGTAAGTTTGGTCTTGCTGTGGTTGGGAGGCGAACGGTGGTTGCTATAGCGTTTCCCGCGCTCTTCATGCGGGAGGACCGATATATCGTGTCGGAATGTAGTACGATGGAGGGTTTCTCCGTTCGTGACGGCGAACTGCATTGGGGTCGGTGGTATACGAGTCTTCTGGTCAAGGACGGCAGACCTCTTCGCTCGTGCTTCTGGGGACTACACGAACAATTCATCCCCAATTCATCCCCATTCTATCACTGTTCCATTCCTCACACCTCCCCACAGGCAAGGCAGACCTAACCCTCCAAATCATAAACCGACAAGTCCAACTCCCCCAACATCTCACAGACCAAACAGACAACAACATCCCTGCCCCAACCCCGTTCCACAACATGCTCCGCCTCCGCGTCGCCCCTGCCTGCAGAACCGGGTATCTGGAACCACGACATGGCGATTTCGAGGCTGAGCAACTTGAAACGTTAGACTCGTCCTCTCCAGCCTCGTAACATGTTGTGCGTGTGGGGGAAAGAAAGGGAAGCTACAGCGTGGTTACACGGGGTCTTGCATATCCAATATAGATCGGAGGGAAGTTTTGGTGAGATAGAAATGGCTTGGGGGATCCTGGCTTATTCAACAGGAACACGACGTTGTTGGTGACATGTGGGGTTGAGACATGCGGAAAGTTTATGACGCCACGAGAGAACTGCGTGGTGACATCTGAGGCTGATTTCGGTACCGCAGAAAAAAGGGTGTGGAGATGGGACAGGGGTTGGCGAGAACTGTAATGCTGATGCGATGCGCGTAGTTTGGAATTGCGAACAATTGTACGTACTGAGGAAAGATATTACAATTTAATGCGGACCTAGATTATCCGCCTGCTGTCTGCTACTACTACTGCTATACAAAGCATATGTACCTTCCTGACCCATAGATTATCTTGGAGAAAAAAACAATGTAACTGAAAATGCCCTATGATGCCAACGCTTGCTATGGGATGGAGAACATCTGCCTTAGTCTCCATGGTGGGTGATGATGAACCAAAGTAGAGAGGTATCAAGAACAGTAGGAAACGATGAGCCAGCCGGTGCTTTTCATCGGCGGTAATGATGCCGCGATCGGAATATCAAGAGTGAATAGGGAAACGCCACCAAAATTCGAGAAACGGAACGCCGGATGTAGCGAGTGCCTTAGCGGAGACCGATAACGCTCTGGGTGTTGTCAGTAAAAGCTGTGGTCATCCGTTAGGGTAAACATACCATTTCCAGCGTCCAGACCCTCCTTATCCACACCTTGAGCTTGCCTTCGACACCTCTGACATTGTCAAGCTCGACACCTTCCCACCAGCAGCGGCGAGCGGGTTTCCTCCAGAAGAGGAGCAGCTTCTGCGCCATTCCGACAGCGTTGCTGTTAGCAAGGTCGTTGCCCTTAATGTCTGTCCTCAGGCGTGCAAGCGCGATGCTGCAGATGACGGCTTTGTTGGGCTCGCCGGCGCGGTGACCCCATCGGTCGTCGTGGTTGAAGCCACTGCGTGCTGTTAGCTGCTGTTCTCTCATTTGCAGGTGGTATGCTCACCCTGCAGTCAACATCTCGATTAGGTGCTGCTCGGTCGTTCCTGGTTCTTCGCTCTTCCTAAGACCAGAGAAAATGCCATCTTGTCTCAGCAATGCTTCGCCTGCAGCCCGCTTGACTTCGATCATCTCGGGCTGAGTGATGTCGCGATGCGGTGGGATAGCGTAGAAGTCGAGGTCCTCTCGCAGCACAATTATGCCAGCGCGGTCCTGGAGCATGTCCCTGGCAGAGCCATGCATAGGTTCAATGGGTACAGCTTCGGCAGCATGTTCGGCAGCGGTCGGGGATGGAGGCGATGCGGGAATGGTCTGGGCTACAGTGCGGAAGAACTCCAGCATGTACTGTAGGGAGTTTGGGTCGTACTGTGAAGGGTAGATATTGTCAGATAAGTATAATGCGGGGTTGGAGAGGTGGTACAAGATCTTAGCTACTGGGGTCGAGGGAAGGGGTGAGGAGGAAGAAATGGGGTTACCAACGTCGACTGGGTATACGTCTCCATCGTGGTAGGAGTTCATGTGCCCATCTGGGAGCAGGCCATTGGGAAAGAGGGAAAGGAGGACGAATTCGGGCAGGGTTAGAAGTTCGTCTCGCGATAGAGTGAATCGCGTGCCCCTAGGATTCGGTTAGCCTTGGTGTCGCGTGTGACGATGCATTTCCGTACCTCAGTTCCAGAGTGATGTTCT